ACTACTAAATCGATAATCACAAATATTTCAACATAAACTTAACGGATTTATAAAATGACTTTTTTTAAAAATTCAATTAAAAAAAAACTTATGCTTAATTTTTTACTCTGTAAAATTTAATTCCTGTTCAGTTATTGGAATATTATATTGAATTGTTTTCCAATAAATTTTAATTACCATATAGATTTTACCAATTTTATTATTAAATCTACGATTATAATGAAAAATGAGTTACTATAGGATAATAGTTCAATGTTCGTTTGATCTATGGAACATATAAAAATTCAGAAATTATCGATGACTTATTTAAGTAATAGGCAAAATGTAAATGGAATAATCAGATCAAGGGCTTAAAGCAGTCAATGTGTAAAATATAAGTAATAAAAATCCAAGGTGACTAGTAAATTCACTATTTCTAAAACGTATAAAAGAATAGAAGTTTGAAAAAGGAGTATAAAATCATAGTGTTAAAGGAGTTAGACGCACACGCCTTTTAAACTCGTAAACTCTCCACGAATTCTCCACGGAAGGTAGGTTTATTAGAAATATGCAGTAGTTCGTTTCTTATTCTAGCAACGTTGTAGCAAGTTCTCCACCCTCTTTCATTTCCTTTCATTTCCGTCCTTTCCTTTTTTTTCCTTTTCATTCCTTTACTTTCCTTTCCATTTATTTCCTTCTTTTCCTTCCTTTCATTCTTCTTTCCTTCCTTTCTTCCTTTTCTCGGTTATTTTATGACCCTTGGCCTCTTCATTGCAGCTGTTACTTGCTGTTACTTGCTCTACAGTATGCTCACGCCCTACTTTGTGCTCAAAATTTTCAGGTTATGTTAATAATTGGCAACGGATTATCCCTTTAATTTATGATACAGCATATCTTACAATACCAAATTACATTTCAAGTAGGGAAATATAGACGAAGGACTAACCTTTTAACTAATATTTTTATAATAGTTTAATTATTAATTGTCTGGCCGAAGTTCGAATGATCCTTTTTTACCATCCTTTGTAATTTATTTTTTTCCACTTCTTTTCAATTGAATTTTAGTTACATTCTTAATCAATTTGCATTCTGAATAAAATCACCTTTTTTAATGTCAAAAAATATATCAATTATGTGTGTATATTGTTGTATAATATTTTATTTTTTAATATTTTATTAAGTATTGAAGTTTTTATTGAAGAATTTATACTTCGATTCATACATAAAAACATTTATCTTTTATCGCTACTTATTTTTTATTCAATTTAATTAATACTAGTTTTTCTTTATCTCTAAATTTATGTTTTAAATAAGTTTAATAAAAAGACAAACTAAGAGTATTTTCAATTATGTATAAATTATCTTTTCAGAAACTTGATATATTTCCCTCTTACTTTGGAACAAATAATTTCTCAAGGTATATGTATATATATATATATATATACACATATAAAATATATACACGCAAATATATATACACGCATATACATATATATCTATCTAAGCAAAGTTTAAATTACATAATTTTTTTATACTTCAAATTCAATGTATCGAATATTAAAATTTTTATATTTATTTCCCCATCGATTTTTCGATGAAAAATTTTTATATTTATTTCCCCATCGAAGAGTTTACTTATTTAATTAGGTTTTTTTGAAAAGCAATATAAAGCAATATTAAAGTAAGGTAATCATTACAATTGTAAAACTATTCATAGTATTTGTAATCTTTTTATTAAATTAATTATAGGCATGTAAAGATCAAATAATTGATATTAATCTAAATATATACAATAACCATGTAAATGCCATCGCAATAAAAAATTTAGTTTTTTTTATAATTATAGCCACTATATTAAGTTATACTACATTAGCCACTACATTGAGAATTTCATTCTTGTATCAATTTTAATGTGTTAACGTCGTTAAAATTTGAGAATTAAAGGTATGATTAAGAACTTCGGGATAACGAAACTAATTAATTTCCATTTTAATTTAAATATGTGTTGCAGTATTAAGTGCATGTATAAAATAATGTTTGCCATATTCCTGTCAAGTAAGAATGAATATAACTTTATTATATCCTCACATAAACAGTAGCTTGTCCTAATAATTTCAAAATGGAATCTTGCAATTACTTATGGTTCATAGTTGCACTTATAAATTTGTACAATGTAATATTGATGATGTTTGTTGTATAGTAATATAATGTAATAAATTTAACAAACTGAAATAGACACTCATGACATAAATAAAATCTTCTGTATTACCATCTATTATCGATTTTAGTCACTTCCCCTTTATAAATTTACTTTTTACCACTTTTATTTGTTTTTTCTTTATACCGCGTAGTAATGTAAAGGTTTTTAGGAAAAGACGAAAGAACGAGGTAGTGACATTTTTTTATTCTCCATATTTTAACAGCGAATTTTCTGCATTTCATAAATGAATTATTTAACAATTTGCTCGATCGGTAATAGCCTTATCTAAGGGCACATCGGGTCGGTTAAGTCACTTTACATTCGAGTTTTCTGCATTACGCACTAGATGGAATAACTTACAAAATTGTCGCGAGTGGTTTGTCTCCTTGGTGAAATATCGATTATGTCATTGGCAATCAACATTGTCGGCGCTTTTCTGATAATGTCAACTGTCATATTTTTGAAAATTTTTACCTTTTATACCATTTACATTAATATTTTATTACAAATTTCGAAACCAGTATATAATTCATATTATTCTTTATATATTATTAATTAATTAAATCTATTCTTCGGTATTATTGTTGCCTTAATTGTTATAAAATGAAAATATTATTATTATTTTTTGCAATGCATTTATTTTAAAATTTCAATTTTGCTACTTAAATTTAATAGTTTTTATATAAATTGACATTAATTGGGATTTGTGCAATTTTAATGTTATAATGCTTCCCGCCGTTATATGCTTATATTTAAATATAATTATCCAATAATATAGTATATGTAATCCATTTTTATCATTAAATTTACTTTATATTGTATAAGTTGATAGAAATTATGTAAATATTTTGAATGCAGCCTTCTTAAAATAATGTATTTGAAACATTCATTTTTTAATATTCGAAATATACATTGAAGAAGTTGAGAATAAGTGAATGATAATGATAATGCAATTATTAGATATTTACTAAAATTTTATGCATCGTACAGATTTTCTGTTTGTCCGTATTATAGAGAAACCTTTTTTTCTTTGATTTTGAATAAATTATTAAATAAACTATTGGTTTGAAAATTTATTAATAATAAATTAGTAGTGTTTAAAATTATGACAGTGCAGACAATAATAGTTTGAAAATTGCTCTGACAAATATATCGTATTATTGTAGCATTGGGTTTTCCCTAAAGCGAGCTCAACTCCTCTTGTTCTTTATCAAACTAGCAAACATTATGCGTTCATAGTACCGAAGGCAAGAAGAATATCAGGATGTCATTGGTTGACTCCTGATAAAGTCATTTCCTCGTTGGGATGATACACTGTTGTAAAAAGCGAGGATTACTCAGCGGCATTCTTGATAAAGAGGGACTGGAAAGCGTTCAAACTTTCGTTAAAGCCTCTTTTATATGTAACAAAGAGTGAAAAACAATACAGTAGTATTTGAATGAAGTATTTCATTCATTTTTCGCAAGAAACAATGTCTAATGAAGCCCAGTTTTTCTCACAAATAAAATAACAAGTCTTTTAAATTTTTATTTATTTAAAAAAATAACTCAAGGATGATTACTTTGCTACATTTATAATAAAAGCCGAAAAAAAGCTTATTTTATTTATAATAAGCGATCTCGATTAAATTTTTGTCTTAAGTAAAAGACAAATTTAAATTTGCTTATAAATTTCAAAAGAGCAACATTCGATAATTATGTAATTTCAAATATTTTGTTTTTAAATAGTTATTATGAATTATTAATTATTATATATTCTTTTGAAGTTATTTCTTTGTGGTATAGTGCCTTGAATTTGTGCAATTATTATAGTGCAAAAAAGTTTTGGAACAAATTTTAGTGCATACATGGTTAATTTGTTAGAGTACAATCATTTTAAAAGTTATACGTTTTATTTTAAAGACACAATTATATGAAATATCTCAATATCCCAACAGAATATTTATATATTATACATTATGATATCTTAGCATATATGAATGTTTTAATAATTATTCTTGAAAAATATAAAAATTAGGATTAAAATTGTTTTAAACGTATAAAAATCATTTTAGTGGATTATTATTAGACTTATTAGCTTATTAGCTACTGATATAATATATCAGTGAACATATTGCATTCGGAAAATAATGATGCGAAAAACCGTGAAATTTATGTTTATATTTCGAAACACGTGATGAAATCTTCATGAGATAAATAAAGAAGAAATGGTAAAGAAAGGTAGTTTTAGAATGGTTTTGGTAACGTGCAATTTCGTTGGCATGGTACTTAAAGCTATTTACGAACAGCCAAGCAATAATTATCAATGGAAGCAGAGCGGTAAAGGTAGGGAGACAGGTAACGGGGTACCGAGTCTCTGACGTTTCCCAAGAGATTACGTATAATCACTTTACTTCGACATTTGCTATTTCATTGTTTTCGATTAGTTTTTTTTTTTACAGTAGCGTACGTTAGCCTCCGGATCTATTTCGTTTATGTAATAATGGTGAGCTTGAGGAGAGTGTCAGGGATTACCCAGCGGATTTGACACGAGTGAGAATCGATGAGAACGCGTGCGCAGCAAATGTTGGCAAGGCTGTGGCGATTAGATTGTCATTGTGTACAAACACGCGCTGCGTACGCCTTAGGCACGCGAACGCGAACGCGAACGCGTTTGATTCCGGATTCTTGGCGGCCAGTCGTCGTCGTGTCCCACTACCTCGGTCACTTTGGCATTCCGTGGTGATGTTGACGGAGTCGGATTGGGCCTGAGCTTCACCGCGCGGGTATCCCCGTTTCTGGCTTTTTGCTTTCCTTTAAATTTTCCGGGGCCTTATAAGTGTCTCCGCCGTAGTTGCGCGATGCGAATTAGCAGAGCTGAGCTCCGCACTTCTTTACCTCGTACGCTTACGTAGTACGAGTTTGCGCGAACGCTCGGTCAGGCCTCGCTTAATGTCGTCGATTCCTTACAAATTCACGGCTTTCTTTCCGTTAGTCACCAAAATGCTGTTCTGCGTTTTTGCTATTTACTTGCTCGGTTTACTCTCGCACTTTTACGGAATGTGCAGATCTTTGCTAGGGCTGTTGCTATCCTGCTTCTCCTTGGCCGGAACATATAATGTTAAGCAAATTCAAACCAAGGTAAACTCTTTCTTCATATACTCATCCGTTATTTTATTTGCTGTATTTGTTGTAATAAAATCCGAATCCGTCCGGTCGATTAAAATATAATTTTAGCTGTTAGGTTCGAGCATTATCTACAGTACACTTTCGAACGACGCTGATATTATTGTAAATTTAATATATGTTAGAATTTTCCTTGCAAGCTATACAGTACGTTTGGTCCAGCTTTTTATAAAAAAAAATTAAAGTTCTCCGAATTTAAATGCTGCCACTGCTTTAGCCCTTTGCTATTTTTACTGTGTAAAAATTTATTTTACAGTAATTAAAAAATATGTTTTAAATTAAAAATGGCAGAAAATAGAAATAATAAGAATCTAGTTTCTATTATTATTACATCACTGACGAATATAGTTGACAATCTGTAAATATAACTTCGTAGAACTGTTCATTAATACATCGTAAACAAAATAAATCAACGATTTTCCATACTGGTTCTTCATTAAAGAAGCTTCTTCATTTTTAATCCAGTAGAATGTTTACAACAACAATAATAACAAATAAAAAAACAAACTAATTTCTAAGATTGTTTTAAAATATTTTAAATATAAAATGTGTTAATGGATGTTCGGTATAAAAAAAATATTCGTCCATAAGTTATCCATTACTCAAAGAATACTACACGCGTGTGATAGAATCATCAATGAAAGTTCAATATTCAAATCGTTACTTTCGTAACTCTACTTTATTAATTAATTTTTATTGTTTTTTTTCTAATGCCATAAATATTATATTCTCATTTTTAAATATGAGAAATTATCTATACTTTTATTAAATTATATTTATACATATGAAAAGAAACGGTTACTTTATTTCATTTTTAGTTTAATTCTCTTGCATAAAAATATCACTTATACATTACTTTGCGTTCACGGATTTAAAAACTCCATTTATTTGAAATCAGTAAAAAATTCTTTCGTTGAGTCGAATGAATCACTGTAATTGTTTTCATATGTCTTCAATTATCGCTTTCAAAAAAATATCTAAATAAAAGTAACGCAACACATATGTATGGTTGTATAAAAATAATTTATTTTAATTTAAAAATTTTTATCTTAAGTTATTTATATATTCTAAAATATACTTTAATAATAGTACATATTGATTTTACAATTTATGAATAATGTATTTTAATTTTTGTAAACAATCTACTGGTATAATCGTTTACAAAAATATAATTATGATAATATTTTTTTGAATAAACTTTCTCGAATCGATTAATTTATTAAGCATTATTATATGAAAAACGATATTTATATATTCACTTTTTCATTTTTATTCCATTTGAATTTTTACAATTCAAATGAAATTTTCAATGAGGAATTTACAATAAAAAATATAATTATTTAAAAAAAATTTTTTTAATATTTAATATAATATATTTAATATAAATTATTTAATTATTTTGAAAGACTTCGAATAACCCAGTTAACAATTACTTGCATGAGTATTTTCTAATTTTTTTTTTAAGCATTTTGCATGAAGCAAGCAAAATACTTTGTATTTATAAGGAAACAAAGAAGAACAATTGCTCTACTGGCTTGAATGACGTATTATTTATGCTTTTTTGGAGGTCTTTGGATTATAGAGGAATTATACAGGAGTGTATTATTTTAAACGGTGTTTGTGGAAATATGGAAGCAGCTCGATAGTTTGATTTTCCGGGATAGTCATAAGTTTCTTTTCCTTATTGATATTTGAGATAACAGGTTTCATATTTTTCACGAAGATTCATTTTTGAAATTCATTGTAATTTTTAAATAAGTACTTTTTAAATTAAGAGCTTGCGATAAAATTTGAGAATAAATACATATATGAATTCGTAATCGAACCAAACAATAAAAGTAATAATATTAACTCTGGGATGCTTCACCATGTATAGAATTGTAATAATGCGTTTAATTTTAGTTTTATGGCCCTATCGTGTATTAATTGTACATGAAGTTAATGTTAGATCGGGTATATTTCATTAAAATACATAAAAGTAAAGAAAAAAACTGTACAGATTTTAAATTAATGCTGTGATTGAAAAGTCCGTATAAATGGGTATACTATGGAACTATACAGAAGCACATGGAAGTCACCCTAAAAGGATTAAAAAAAAGTAGTAAGCATTGAGTAGAATAACTTTTACAAAACATTCATCGCTCCAGGCCTCGCTCGTATCATTTATGTATCACTCAATAATTGCACAGACACATGCGTGAAAACGAAAGTCTGTGCTTCGTTTGCAACGACAAAAGCAGGGCAGCTGCCATATGCATTTACAGCGCATACATTACAAAGCGCACTTCGGCTAGGTCATAGGAACAGGGCGGTGCTCGCGTGGCCAATTAACGCATCGATGAGTTAACTTGTCACACAGCAACGTGGAAAATGTGAACTCCAACAGCAACAGTGCCAACGGTACTCCAATGAAATAACGAATGATGGAGAACATTCGAATGAATATGTTATCGATGTTAAAATATTAAACATTTACCGATTGATGAGATTTTAAATAAATTTTTGTGTTCCAAATACTATGTACTGGAGTTTTTTAAAATTACGAAATTATATCACCGCACATAGCGTTTATCAATTATTTAAAACTTATTTATAATAAATCATTATATATACATACGTAAGAATTTATTTAATCGATTCATACTTAATTCCATAATCTAATTGCTATTTATTTTTATATTATCGGCGAGTAAATTCTAATAAATTATTCATCGTCTTAATAAATCATTCTCTTCATTTTCTAAAATCAATTTATGTCAATGTTCAGCTTGACATGGATTTTATTGAAATAAAATTTAAGAAAGAATAATTTATTTAGATAACGTACCGAAAAAACAGGTGTTTGATGAATCTGATTTCAATGTTTACATTTTTTAAATCCATGCGAGTGGAAACAATGCAAATATTCTTTAATTAATTAAAAAATTACTACATATATAAGATATTGCTAAATAACAATGAAAAATAGTAATCAATTAAATATTCGTCCACTTATCGCCATGTCTTTAAAAAAAAAAAAAGTTTCCATCAATTTTTGTTTATATATGTAGTGCTCATCATATATATATATATATATATATATATATATATATATATATATATATATAATGAAACTTGAAATATATCTATTTTAGTTAATGAAAAAAAATGGTTTTATTTTAATGAACAAAACAGATAATTTTTACTGATTTTTTAATATAATCTTAATAACTAGAAACGTATCTTTGTCATCAGTTTACATATAAAATTAATTATTAATATTAATATAGATAATATATTTTCTTTTTTTATAATAGCTAGACATTATAAAAAAAGTACTATAAATAGTATAATTAATTCCTATAAATAATTAAAAAAAATTTTACCAATTGTAGAAGTACCGTATTGAAAATTCCTTTTTGAAATTCATGAAATTTGTTATGTTGTAAACGTGATTTATCTAAATAATATTCTATATTTATACATTTCTTAAATATTCAACGACAATATACATAAGATTTTTTCAAACTTTATGAACATTTTTATAAATATTTAGTTATTTTGAAAGAATTGTAAGTTTTTAAAAATACAATAATTTATTTTTTATAATAAATTTGGACTAATTTGAGGTAACAACTATCAAATCGTTACATAATTATTATGAAAGTTTAACTTTATTATTTATGTATGACCCACAGGAAATAATTTTGGTACTGTACTTGTTTATTATAATTCATTATTATTTAATTATTTAAAGACATTGCATTAATTTATAAGAAACTAATTAATATTTTTATTGAACATAAATAGAAATAAAAATTTATTCTATCTCATGTTTTTTCTAAGGCAGTATAATATAAGGAATATTATAAAAGCTTAATAATAACATTGAAAGTAATATGCATGTAACAATATAAGTGTACTTTAATTTTATGGTTTTAAGATTGCGATAAATGATAATGCATTTTATTTTTAATATATCATAAGTTATACCTCAATAGTTTACAATATCTTTTAATTTTATATCTACAAACGAGCTATATATTTTTATATTATTTATATATGTCAGTATATGTACATTAATTAAAAATTTATCATCTAAGTTATGTTTTGTACCAAAAATCAAATTTATATCTATTGAAGAAAATCTGAGGAATAAAATTTCTAAAAAAAAGTAGTGACTTAAAGTGCCCTAAAGCAACTGAAGCCCCGAGATAAAAAAATAGTAATGTTATTCATGTAATAGCTCGAAAAACAAAATTGAACGTTGCTACTATGATATTTGAGGTTTTACGAATCATCATAGAAATAGCCATCTGAGGTCAAGTACGTTGTGTAGAGGGATTTCTGAGTTTGCATTTACAGATCTATGATACAGTAAAATTCATGTATATATATGCGTGTGCATTCATAGTTATAAGTCTATAAATTTTTACAGCTTAGAGAAAAGTAAGATATATATATATATATATATATATATATATATATATATATATATATATATATATATAATTTAATATAATAAGATACGAGTAAGCTTTGCAAACATTTGAAGTTTTACAAATGCCTTTACAAATTTATTAGATAGTTTCAAATTTGCTTTATAATTTCAAAGTGTCATCATATATTTCATTCGTAGTTAATATTTGATTAAATTTCAATAAAAACATCGGAGAAATTAAATATTCGTTATTATAGTCATAACTTCATAAGGTTCTTTCTCTTAGACGTTTGCCATCAATGCATATGTAAGATGCAAAAGTAAATTATAGTGCAATAGGGTATTGTCGGCAACTCCATAAAGAGCATAAACAGATTAGATAATCTAAATATTTATTTACCGTTTCATTCTGTTTTGTATATTAACTCAGCTGAGTAGTATAAAACAGTACTATAAAAATGCATATTTTATGTAGTACTTTGTTCATAACTCCTTTCTTTAAGTAAATTCAAATAATTGTTAATAATTTTATGTA